TTTTTTTTTTTACCAAAGAGACTCATTTTCATCTTCATTATCATTTTTATCATGAAAAATGATTCGTATTTTTTACATGAAACACCTCTTGTGCAGCTATAGTGTCGTATAGCCGTGGATGACGTATTCTGTATTTTCGTTTTTTCCAATTCCCCATAATTCACTCTGTTTGCCCCCAAACTGAGCGTAAAATATTGTTGTGAAATGCTCTTGGGAGGTCTGCATATTCCCAATAGCATTTCACAACCATGGTTTATGCAAAATGGAGGAGGCAAACAGAGTGAATTATGGGGAATTGGAAAATAGAGAATCCAACAAGAAACGTTCTTCAGCTAAACAAACCTGTGCGTAATAAGAATTTACTGTCTCTGAGGCGAGAAAGTCCCCATAGAATGTGACACGTGTTGTTGCACGTGCGTTGTTTGGTAGCAGGCGAGATCACGTTTTCGCCATTCATATTATGCGTGACCTGTGCTTGCTCCGGTACAAGGCGCGCAGAGGTTGAAGATTCCCCCACCGCTTGTATTTTAGTAATGTAAGCATGTTTTCTGTTCTTCACGGTGGAGTTACAGTTATTTTAATAAACAATAGGAGACGCACTGTGTTCAGGTGGCGTCCATTTTAGCCAAGTTAAGTGCAGCTAATATCGGTGCATTATAGGTTGTCGTACATCCCGTAAACCGCCATATTTTGTTCCTTCGAAACCCGCAGACCGCTTTCGTTTTCTCCTGAACACCGAAACGTCGGACGATCATCATCACACCCGATCTTCAGTTAGAGTACGTAAGAAATTCTTTACGATAACCGCAAAGACCACAATTGTTTCTGACTCCATTCAGTAACCAGCGAACAAAACGTTTTGACATAATGACGGTCTTCTGAGCATCTCAGCTCTGTATGAATGACCGCCACACAAAAACACGCAAAATCCGAAAACCGCGAACTTAAGTTATGATTTCCCGGAAACGCGTGATAATTTCTTAACCGTAAATCGCCAGATAAATGTGAATGTGCTTGCAAAACGGCACTCAAAATTGAGTTTAACCGTCACGCCGCCAGAGTATAATAGAGCATAGTTAGTGGAGGGGACTAACTCTGCTAACTATGCTCCCCTCCACTAACTATGAATAGAGTCCCAGTCATTAATCATAAATGCGCTCAACAGTCAAAGAACGGAGACAGAGAATGAGACTTGAAGAGATGGATCGCTCTGACACGTATCATATGTTCGTTCCATTTCTGGATTCAAGCTCTCTCAGTAATTGGCATAAGATTGCGACGCCAGATTCAGGTTATTTCTGTAATGGATTTTAACCTTAACAGCCTGTATTACCTACATGGTGAACTAGATTGACTCAAACAGAATTTTTTAACTCTCGGTCCACTTGGTGTCGTATAGAACTGAAGATGATTCAGGAATAGTATAATTCTTTGGAGCCTCTTCAAGGCTTGTGCGTCAGCTTGAAAAAATTAACTGGAATTTTTCAAGTTTGTTGTGCGGTGGTCAGGATGAAGGGAAGGAGGTGGAGGTACAGGTCACGTTTCACGGAACATTTTGTCCAGTTGCAGGCTTGATCTTTCACGGGTGATGACCACAAGTGAATAGAAATTGAAGTTACAGGCCCCTTCCACACTACGCCAGAGGAATTTGAAAACGGAGTTTTATTTACGCGGTTAGGCCTGGCGTCCACACCAATCCGTCACGAAAACGGAACTTTTCGAAAACACTCTTCAAACCGGAGGAATTTGAAAACGCCGGCTTCTTGTTTGATTGTGGACGGAAAACATTCTGAAAACGGAACTTTTCGAAAACGATGACATCAAGCGGAGAATAATGTGATTTCCCTGGCCGAGTTTTCCTCAAACACAAATCCAAAATTACCGGTGATTGTTGCGTTTTCAAATTCCTCTGTCGTAGTGTGGACGGAAAGCATTTGATGCGTTTTCAGAGTGAAACCTCCGTTTTCAAATTCCTCCGGCTTGGTCTGGATGTGGCCACAGTTCACGGTAGATTCTCTTTTCAGTCGGAGATAATTATTTCTGGTAAATATGAAACACAGCTCACAGCTAAAGAACAGATCACGTTTCAGACCAGAATAAAAGCACGCTTGCTTTACGCCCATGCAATTTTAATTGCAAAATTGAAAAAATGTGAAAAATGTGTCCTCATAAAAATACCCTTTACAACGTTCGATTCCGTCATGATCAGTAGGATGCTGTACTTTGTAACTAATTTTTATACCTATCTGTTATAACAACACAATTTGAGGTCAATGAAAAGCAAATACATATTTGTATATTGTCAGTGCAGGTTAACTTTCGAGGAACTTTGTGTTAAAAGTGGGAACTTGCTGTCTTGGCAACTGATCTGTAACCTAGCGTGCTGAATTGGAGTAGAGCTATGCGTTCCTTTGAGATAAATTCAATAAAGATACAGTTCAGAATCAATGATCCAGGTTTACTTGGATCACTGATTCTTATCCCAAAAGGTTCCAAATATCTCTCTCGGCGCCAGGTGCAAACAAAAAAAGGCGTTTAATAATTTATTGGTCTCATTTGATCTAACTTCTAGTGTCATTAAACTTCATTCTTCCTGCGCTGATAGCGATGATAATAGATTCGTATTCCCTTGACTAGAAGAAGCTTTTAATCTAGCTTTGCTATGTTATCCTACGTGTGTCGAGAAGTTAAAAGTCACCCAGCTAGAATAAGTAAAAACATCATTTGATTTGATGGTTTAAGAAATAGCCGATGCGATACCAAGCGCATATTCATATACATATGCGAAGTGTTAAGTACTACAGTTACTGTATATACACGGTATTATTCAACAAAATACTACAAATTTGAAGTCAAAAGTACTTTCAATTTAATTGCAGTTCTGTCACTTAAAGTTCTTCATTTTACAAGGGTTAGTCGCCACTTAGAAATTAAACTCCACTACTGTCAGTAGCGTTGAAAATCTCTCCCAACACGACAACGGGAAGCCCAGCTTAAAATTCTGTCAGACACTGGTGCATGTGTAATTTCTATTGTTTGCGATATTATTCTATGTGTTTTGTTTTTATTGGTATGAGCTAGAACTAGTAAACCAATCAGAAAAATTGTTTAATAAACCTTGTCATTTAGTCAAAGGCTTGTGGTCTTGGTGTGAACATCGTTGTTAATCTTTGAAGAGTGACCTGAGGCGAGAGTTAATTCTTTTTTAACAAGTGTTTCTAACGAGATGCGTTGAAGACCTTTAACTAAATCGCCAGACAGGATGAGGTGGAGAATTTCTCCAATTTTTCTGATCATCATCTTTATATCTTTCTCAGAAGAAATTCAGGTATAGCATTGTTCGCTTTCTAAATTATGTTCGTACGCTTTTACAATCACTTTTATTGTACTGATTAATTTTATTCCTCCTATGCAGGCTTCAAGCCAGTGTCCAGATGAGATTCCCTGTAAGTACGAATTTGCTGTCCCTAAACTTGAATACATACTTAGTCTGAGAAAAGTAAGAAAGTTTTATAATTAGAACTTTCTCTCCTGGCTTTTAAAGAAGAAAGCATGTCTGTAGGCTTGTTCTATTTTTTGATTACACATCAAAGCACATCTAGCCATACGACTTAGTTTACAGACTGGAACACTTTTTTTCTCTGAATTTTCAGGAAAATTTTAATACTTATAAACTCTTCGAAACTGCGACGAAGTTCTCTCTTTCTCCCGTCCGCACGCTCATTAATTGCGGCCTGGGAAAATGAGAGGTTTATTTTGCTAAATAAGTTATGAGTTATGTGCTAGTACAACATAATTAAAACCAAATTTTTGAAAAATGCTTTAGAAGTTACCAATAGAGCTAAAAGTTCAACTCTCTTAGCTAGAACTTCTTTTGGTTCGTTTTTTCTGCCAAATTACCAAATGTTTTAACGGGGAAATCAGTTTCTATAGCCACTGCGTTCAGTCAATTCCTCTTGTATGTTTTTTATAGTTTGAATTCCCGCGATGATCACGAAACTGTCTCCGACAAAGTTATGCTACCATAATTTATAAATTAAGTTTAAGTTCGGCACGATCTTTACATGTATACGCGTGAGTGGGTGTTTTCAGTAGAGACCGAGAATAATGTCTTGGGCATGCGGAAAAATTTCTGTTGTTGCGCAATTATCTTGAATGCAAACGCCGTACTTCCAATTTTTCGCTTTTCTGCCATGTTTTATGAATCTTCCGAGCAAGTTTGGTGCCGTGTACGAAAAAAATCGCATTTTATTTCAAGGAATGTTAGACAATTCCCTGGATTTTAAATGTTACGAAATATCGCTCTTTGAAAATCGAAAAAATCGAGTTGTCCGAAAAGTTTCATATAATATTTACTTGATTACTTTCAAACAATATCGCACATTAACCGGGGCCGACCTGAACGAAACAGATGTCAGTATAATAAATATAAGGCACCTATACCAGTATCATTGAATATATTAAAGAGTGTAACAAGTTGCCGAAAACAATGCACCCAGGAGCTAAAGAAAATTTAAGTTTTTCTCTTGGTCACGCGGAGTAAAGTACCGGACACTACTGCAGATTCTCGTACAAATACTGTGTTTAAACTCGTTGTTCACTCTCATCTACAGAGAAAAACTAAATAATTTTGCAAACTCACTGGGTACCAATTGAAAACCGCGACGAGAATCTTGTATTTACGGTCGCCTGTCAATGTCGATTAAACCACACAAACTGTGAGTTTGTTTTAGTTGAAAGTCAACGTAAGAGCAATATTAAGCCCTCGTGGGCTTATTTCTTTTCAATACCTTTTGAGGGAGGCATTAATCGCTGAACAGTGCTTACTAACCATAAGTGTTTCTAGAGGACAGCTTAAGAGAGTTTTAACGGTGTCGCTTTCGTTGGGAAGTAATTTCCGTTTGTGTTAATGGCTACTAAAACGAAGACTTTCTTCATAAATTATAAATTTTGTTTTGGTTTTGAACTGGCATAGCTTGACATAAAAGTCACATTAAGCTCCCAGAGGGGTTATTTCTTTTTAGTACCCTTGTAGGGAGGGAGTTATAGAAGAGAAATTCTAGAGGAGAGCTTAATAAGTTTTTACGGTGTTGGTTTTCGCCCCAAGGCCAAATTTCTCGGCAACTGAGTTGGAATTTTGTCAAATTCTCAGCTATCAGTTAACCAGATCTGTCATATATGACTGTCATTGAAAAAACGAACTTACTCTTTCAACATAAACGTTGGCATTGTCAGTTTAACATTTGGCTTGATTCTGATCGTTACGTATAAGGCTACATTTCATGATCAGCAGTTTGCAACTTTAAGTAGCGTAAAAAAACGGTCACACAAAAGTGTGAGTTAACTGATGGCGATCTTCGAAGACTAGATGAAAATGTCGTAGATGTGGATTATTAAAACCTTTCAGTCCTAGAAACAGGGAGAGGTCGAATTTAATGCGGTGCCATTTGAAGTTTATAGAGTCATTCTTTCTTTTATTCTTTATTAATCGCGGTCGTATAACTGTTAAGTAATTTTACATGTTGAAATGGCACAACAAATAATTCTTTCTACATTGATATTAAAAATCGGGCTGGAGAGCTAAATTAACGTGTTGGTTCAGTTTCTTGTCAGTTTAGTATTTCCGTACACCATCTGGACATTTCTGAACAGCAGTTTACAAAATCTCTCGCGCTCAACAATAGTACGTTATTTGTTAATCTCTGTAGGAAAAAGATGATCGGTACATTAGGCCACGTTCGATATATCAATATTGTAACATGGCTCTGAGGCTTTCAGGACAAACTTCTATGTTTGGTGCTGTTTTCTTTGTATCCAAGTCTCTTTTGGGAATTGAGAGACGAAAGAACTTTAAAAATTTACAATTTTGACCCGAAAGCCTCGGAGCCGTGTTAGAATATTGATATATCGAACGTGGCCTATTCAAATGGGTTCATGTTAAGTGCGCCTATGTACACCGACGTAAATTGGAGACTGGTTCAAATTCTTATCAATTATTCCGACATGCATGTACTTGAGTATGAATACGATATGAACGTTTGTCACAAATAATGGTCGTCGTCATCGCAAGATGAAAGCCACTATCAAATTTTGGAGTTTTTTTGACAAGGAGCACTTATTGAAACAGGGTTCTAAGCCTAGTCAACGGTAACCAAACCAACTCGGGTCACCAAAACTGTCCCTTATATGAAGTAATTTTACGAATTTCGATTTTGTAGGCTTTCTAACCAATCATGTATGGATCCTTATGTAGTGTATTAATGTGATTTTATCTCAGCCTGGCTGCAGTGCACACATTTAAATGTTGCCTCAGAAAGGAATGGCGCAACATGCACATCAAGTTCATACGCCAATGCATCAAGACAGTGTGACAAAGCAATTGATGGACGAGCTGACGTCGGAAACGCGCTTCTCACGTTTGCTTTCAACAGTAGTAATTCGGCCAATCAGTCCATAAAGATCCAGTTCGCACAGTATTTTCTCATTAACAAACTTAGAGTCATGCAGCTGGACAGCGGTAATACGCAGATCAGTAACGTGCGCTTGGAATTCTCGAATTCCTCCTCAGTAAAGGTAAGATTTAAGAGCTTTAAGGCCAAAAAGTAGTTGTATATGGATGTGAACATCAGCCATTTTGGCTTGTGAATTTTAATGTATTCCCAGTCCTCGATGGTCACTTTCTTTTAAGAACGCAGTTGTCAAACGTGACATTTCTTACAGAAATAGTTGCGAGAATTTTGCGTAATACTAGACAATTTACTTTGCTGATGATTTCCTTAATTCTTAAGAGTGGTATTCTTAATTAGTTACTACTGTTATGAGCAGAAAATAGGTGCTGATCACTCTTGAGGCCAGCTTGAAGAGCGATGAACAGCAGCAGCCCAGCACTTTTACCCGTTATATTAATAAATTGCAGAAAACTCTCACACCTAACACTGGTGACGCAGTCATGGAGGACATAACGTTCACACCTCGCAGTGCATCTTGGGTTCAATTGGTGGTTGACCAGGCCGGTGGATTTAAGGAGATCGAGGTTTACTACGACCTGTGCATGAAAGGTAAACAGTTCTTACTTGCGCTACGTCGTAGCCATTATTGGATGAGAGGTCCTCCGGTAACAGGTTCATATATTTACGGTAGAGAGGAAGTGCTGTATAGCTGGTTTTCACATGACGTCACTAAAATTCGAACTACAAAACTATTGATCTTCCTGAGATTTTACTTAAATGATGTGTAAGAGCAGCTGA